AATAAATATAGAAATATGGAGCCCGACAGCAATGGTCACTTAAAACAGTCACTGCATTCTGAAGATTGTTAATTTTGGTGTTTTGCATAACAGAAAATGGATTTCTAACAACATTTTTGGTTGAACAATCCCTTTAACATTTTCATAGGTGAGATCTACACTGCTCTACAAATCAAATGAACATACCAGCTGAATTGCAGTCATATATTTCTTCCACCAGAGGAACTTCTGGAAGCGAGGTCCTGCAGCAGAAAGGCCGTAGTAGAAGTACATGATCACATGGACACAGGAGTTGATCATGGCATGGAAGGAACCCATTCCACCTGCAAGAAACATTGCAGCGAAGCCTCGAAGTCAGATATGATGATAAACTATATCATATCAAGATAGCTATAAAGTTTATGTCATTAATGATGATAAGCTCTGGACATTTGTACTCTATATAGATTAATCGAACAGCAGAAATAAATGCAACAGTCAATGCATGCCACTAATAAGTCTGCATGTCTCTGGGTGAATGAGTGGCGTAGTTTCATCTACTACACAAACTACTGTTTTCTGCATCTGCATCTCGATATATGAGACATGAACACGTTAACTTCATCCCCAGAGCTGCTCTGAGAGTCACTTCACCAGCTTTACAGCGTTTCATTTGAGAAAAACTACCATCAAACACACACTGAAACTCAAACTGCCAAAATGAAAGTTCGGCTTAAAGAAGTTATGACAGATATTACTATTTTAAACTAAAATGTAATTCTTACAGTAATATTAATATTATTGTTAATATCATACAACCACGATATTTTTTTCATTCATGCTAAATGCATACAGTTCCGTTGCGCACCATCTTATTTGACAAAAATAAAAATGCAATGTTTTTTCGGAAATTGTTAATTATTTCATTTGATATTTATATTTTCATTTGATTACATTTTTAAAAAATGCTTAAGATTTTTGAACTTTTATCAATTTCATCAGACATCATTTTTATGCTAAATTTGTATTAAATCATAAAACAGAATCTTAAAAATATAAAAGGTATCTTACTCTGTTGAGTTTAATTGTGAACAAACAAGTTACCTTTACATTCTCAAGGTCTAACAAACATGTGGAAACCACTACCTTCCCCAATAATGGAAAATTAATATCATTATAAATATTTATACTGTATATGGGAAAAAAAATTTCATGATCATAATGTTTTTGGACATACTCTATGCTGTAGGCAGTTTAACAACAACAGACTCTAATGACCAGCAACACCAAGAGCTTTATATACAAGAAGCATCAGCACATGCAAAATCTCTTGGCTTGTGGAACAGCAAAACCATGTCTGACCAGGACAGAAATTTGTCAGGGTCCATTAACAGGCTCCCGTCACTGAAAGCACACGTGCCGATCATGGAAATACCTGCTGACTGACTGGGATCCACTCACCTGGTGCGTAGCTCACGCCCCACCACCACGTCCAGGGCATGAAGGAATGGTGGATGATGTGCAGGAAGGTGATCTGACTGTGTTTCTTACGCAGCACAAAGAACACCTGAACAAGACCACAGCAGTTCATCACTTCATGAACCAATCTGCTTTCAAATCAGCCGTTTATCAAATCTTACCGTATCCATAAGCTCAATGAACTTTGAAAACAGGAATAACCAGGCAACTCTTGTCATCTGGAAACGTAAATAGACACAGAATTGGACTCTTAATTCGATTATTTGTGCACAGTAATCTTGGAGTGTATTAGAGGAAATGGAAAGCAAATCTTACTCGGAGTCCTTGAGGGCTGTTTGAATAATCACATGGGTCACATCTCCACGTGTATCCCGTCGCCCACCCCGACATGAAGAACTACACGTCAAGTAAAGACCATTAGCATATGAAGTTATCTTCAGGAACTGCTTTTGAGGAGCAACTCAAAACCAGAATGGTGTCTCAATAATGCAAAAAAAAAAAA